TCGCTCCGGCACACACTACACGTTTATTAGGAGATGCCCTTATCCACACACACACCCCACCCCCAAGCAGTGGAGAGGCAGGTCAACACGTGAACGCGCGTCTCCGGCCCGATCAATCCCAAGATAGGAAAGATGCGCGGTAGGTGTTAAAAGCCGTGGGTCGGAACTGGGGGAAGGGGGAGTGGGAGGCCCGAAAAACGTAATCCGCTACTTTGAGATGTGGGACGGGCTGTCCGCGTGGTTCACCTAAAGGTCAGCGCGCCGTGCGAACGCCGAACCCACGGCGGGGGATGCGCGGTTGTGCGAACGCGGCCAAACTCGCGTCGCCGTTCCCGAGGCGCCCGCCCCACCGCCGCCTCCTCCTCCTGTTTTTTGACAACTGCTCCCCTTTCCCAGACAATGAGAAACTTGACGGGCGATCCGCCTCGAACCTCCCCTTCCTCGCACTCCCCCTTCTCCTCTGCCCCCCGCCTCTGGGGCAGCGCGGCATTCCGGAGCCCGCGAGGTGGCTTGCTTGCAAGGCTCGCCCCCGGGAGGAGGAGGAAGAGGAGGAGGAGACCCGGCGCTCAGCTTGGGATCCCCGACCTCCCCAAAAAATGAAGACCCGGCCTCCGACGCGACCTGCTCCCGCCGCCGCCTCCTCTTCACTTGCTGCTGCTGCAGCGGCGGCGGCGGCTCTCCAGAAGCCTCCCCGCAACGCAGCAGCTATGCGTGGGCTCCCCCCACCCTCTCCCTCTTCTCCCCCCGATTCTATTGTTGGTGGTCTCTCTTTTTGATTTACCTGGTCGGTCAGTTTGAGGACTGCCATGGTCTCCCGCGGGCTTCGCTGGCCCACATGCAGCTCTCCCCGGCTGGAGATGCCAAGCCACGTTCCGAAGGGGAGACGCGCGCGATCGCGGGCTGACAATCCTCCTCCTCCTCCTCCCGCAGCAGCAGCAGCTCGCTAGGTCAGGAGGAGAGAAGCCCGTTGGTATTTAGCCAAGCCTGCTCTGCTATACAGGAAGTACGGATGCATTCAACCCAGCTAGCCCTGACATCACTCCGACACACTCCCCCGGGCCGCGCTCGCCTGGAGGAAGAGCGCCCCTCGCCGAGCGTGGCTTGGAACTGCGCCTTGGCTCTCCCCTCCTCCTCTTTCTCCTCCTCCTCCTCCATGTCCGGAAATGCGAGGCTGCTCCTCCGGGCTGCTGGGGAGCCCCGTCGGGATGGTTTCCTTTGTTCCGCTCCCTTGGTGTGTCGGCCGCCACCTCGCGCGGAATCCGCCCTTTGCGATTGCTCTCCTTTTCTTGCTCAAAGGCGCAATTGATCGGCAGTTCCAGGAGCGGCGCCTGGAGCTCGGTTGGGTTGTTAGTTGGGCCGGGCTCTCAAATTCTGTGAACCCCGTGTGTGTTCTCCTTCTGACGGCCTTAGCGTTTGAATTCAGCCTTTTATTTTGTTTGGTCCTTGGAGGTGGTCGCTTATATGGGCCGCTGCCTCTTTGCGTCCTGGGTCGATCCTGGACTTTGGGGGCGGTTCTAGGATTTTAGGATGAAATCCCCATTTGGTGAATGAATAGAGGGCAAATTCTGACGTTGTATAATGAAAGATAAGGAGCTATAAGATCAGATATATAAAATCAAGTCTGATGTTGATAAACTCTTCTCTCCTTTTGGACAGATAATAAAAGGGAATTACTTGTTGACACAGGGGCTAGTTACAGTAATGAAATTGGCAGCCATCAAATGTGGATATGGGATCCAAAGTTAAGATTCTTTTTTTTTTTGGAGAAATTTTTTTATTGATTTAGTTAAACAGAAAAAAAGAAAAAGAGAAAAAATCATCTTTTGTTACATCTTGTTGAAAGCGTATCGATTGGTTACAAGATATATTTGGTGCGTTTCTTCCACAGTCCTTACATATACTTCATTCAAATCATGTACGTTTTAAATCAAGAAAGAAAAGTTATATATTTTACTATCCCTGTACCATAATTCTCATTTGGTTACCATTGTTTAAACATGTTTTTATCTAGAATCATTTATATTAGAAGACACAACCACCTACTGGCGTTCATTTGCAATTTCAATAGATCTCCAATACCCTTACACCTTTATGACGTTATAAAATTAATTCGGTTAAGTAAGATATCTGAGCATTCCTCCCCCCCCCACCTGTATGGATCATTAAATATTGTCCATTAACATTTCCGTTATTATTGTAGTTAACTAAAGGTTATTTACTAATTATCTCTCCTCTCCAGGCCCACACAATATTATAACTTTATAACCGTCTTTAAACAATGATTTATTAATAAGATTTATAGGACTTTTCCCTCAATCCCAAATTAGTTAATTACGTGCTAAGAAAATAAGCATTAGACATCTAAGACAATCTAAGAGATATTAACATTTCTACCTGACAATCACCCAGAATGTATATTAGTATTTCTATGGTCTGGTTATTTATCCTAACTAGGGTTATTATTTCTCTATTAGTATCATAGTAAATTTATGTTAATGGATAAACATTCAGTGGCAATTTAAAACAGTCTATAAGGTAATCTCTACTTAATAATCATCAAAAGCTTTTTTCCATCAATTGGCATTATTAACCAGTAAAGTTAAGACTCTTAAAGGGGATTGGAACTATTGGGGGGAAGATCAGGCTAGCGCTGGTGGAAGGCAAACATCTAAAGCTGCTAAGAAAAGTATGGCCTGAACCTTTTTGAAATCCACAGTGGCTCTTTTATTAATAGCTCTTGAACCTCTCGGGTAGGACTCATCCTTACACAGAGATGTTCCACTGAACAGTTTAAAAGGACATATTCTGATGTTGTCTTGACCCCTTCCTACAAAGGTGATGGCTTAAATTCACCTTTAGCAACTGTACTAAATGTAGAGTTGTAATGAAATAGGTCAAATCAATGATTAAGGCCATGTTGGCTGGAGGTGACTCATAAATAAAATGTTGGCTCTATTTACATTTTTTTTGTATGCATGCTATGTTCAACTGCTATTTTTTGAATAGTAATAAAACTTGTTGTTCGCTTTTTATCTGTGAGCTGCCCTAAAAATATATGTTGAAAGGCAGCCATATACATGTATCTAAAAAAAAAAACTAGTTTGGATTTTCTAGTTGAAAAATATCTGAAGTGAGCAATAACATCAGACATGCCTTTCTAAAGAGGGGGAGCCCAAGAACCAATAATTCCTTTTCCCCAGGTAGTATGAAAGTTGTTGTTTCATTTAATAAATGTTTCATTTATTATTGGATCCATTCAACTATTTTCTTTTTGAATAAGAGGTAGGAAGGGCCAGAAGAGAAGTGTTATTTTCAGTTCATTATGTGCATATGTGCAATCCATATAAATAAAATCAAAATATAACTATTTAAATGTTTACATACTTCTCTGCTCATCATGAATTTATAAGACTCATAGGAAAAATAATTCCTAGACTCTTCTAGGGCACCTTTAAAAGAACTTTGAAATGCATGTCTTCCCCACGGGATAAAGAAGCAACAGGGATAGAAAAAAAAGTGATTATTAACTAGTAAGCAATAGTGTTTTGAACCCTACTTAGCTTTGGAATTAAAAAAAATATTATTCCAGTAGGAGATGGGAAGCAGCCCATGAATTAGTATATATAAGCATCTGATGCGCATTATTTTAGACAAACCCCAAGCTTAAAGTAGAACTTAAAAGGTGAGACTTTCACATGTTTTCCATGAATGTTGTTAAATAAAGCTTTTTGTTTTGTATTATCTCAGATTCTTTGATATCTTCTGTTGTCATATAACTCCTTGTGTAGGTGTGGGTCACCCATGGCCTAGTGCATAACGGCATGCGCAGCCACACTGAACCACATAGGAAAAAACAAACTCCTAAAGAACATAACATCCTGATAGTTCACTCGAGATGTGCCTTACCCAACGACGCCCAGGATCTGACCATATATAGACAGAACTTCCCTGAGCAGATGATTAGCAATTATAGTTTGACAGGCTGTCTTAAATCACATGCTGATTGCTCCTCCTGCCTTTGTCCTATCTCAATAAAAGGGGCTCCCAGACCCCCAATCTGGGTCGCCTCATCCCGAGAAAGCTCGTGTCCGTGTCTTTTCTCAACATTGGCCTCATGAGCGAACCACAGGTACATCACAATCTTCCAGAATTTGAGAATCTAAGTGTCATAAGATTCTGGCACGTTTAAAGAAAATTTGAAGTAGCAATTGAGATACAAGTTTTAAAAAATGTGGCCTTGGAAGCTTTCCATAAACATTGCATGGCTCCCAACTTTTCACTGCACAGCTGCAGCCCTAGTCTCCTTCTAGATTAACAGTGTTGTCCCTGACCAACTAATGCTTTCCCTGCTAACCCTTGATTCAAGTTACCACAATGTGTGAGCCTAGAACAGACGTCCCATTTAAACCCCAGGTTTGCAATGTCATCTGAAGTTGAAATGAATGTTTGCTAATCAATTGTCAATTTTCCTTTCCAACCTCCAGATAGTTAAGTGGGAACAGCAGCCACAAAATGACAACTTGAATGGCATCTGTTAACCACAGGCTTCATTTTTCTTTTACATTGGGCCTGAAATGTGCTCAGTCTTTCCATATCCCACATACAATGGCTGCTATCATCAGTTAGACATCTGTGCCATTTCCCCCTTTTGAACAAGAATGTTACAGTGAGCAGCCACCATAAAACTTGCTGGTGGATATTTGGTGTGATGTTTATTCACTAAACATTACATATTGTACATAGCCTCCTAATAATATTTCAACCCCAGGTATACACCTATTTTAGTGTATAATCCATAGCCATGTTTCAATATTCAATAAATATCCAGTTTTGAATTCATTACTGCTTCAGCAGAGCAAATCATAATGGAAGAAAACAGTGGACATATGAAAGGAAAATATTTGGTGGAGAAAAGAAAAAATAAAGACCCAAACCTCAGGGCAATTCAGTACAAAAGCCAATTTTATAACAAGTACTTTTTCAAGATAAAGACACAACGATCAAAATGTGAACGTTTCTTATTTATTCAAAAGCTAGGGTATGACAAAGACAATTAAAATGTAATATGCCACCTTTTTACATAAATTGCTTGATGATCTGAGACTTATTATATGTCTCCCTGCCCAAAAATGCTCACACACAAATAACCATTAATATTTTATACACAAATGTTTATTTCTCAAACAGCCCCTTTCAACACAAGGAACAGATTCTTAAATCCTCATCAAGGTGATTTCCCCTCTCCCATATTCTCAGCAATCATTGTGTTCTTGGTCACTACTGGCTTTAACACCAAAACAAAGACATGTTATTTAAAAATCATGCTATTGATTTCTAAGCTCTGCCTCTGACCATTCTACGGTACTCTGCAGTGTCTTAAAAATTGTACATCACCAGTTCTGAACCAAATATGGAATAGCTGTCTATTGAACACAAAACAAATGAGAAATAAAATTACAAGACATAATCAAGTTCGTAACGAATGTAGGTATTCTTTTCATCATTGTAGATTCGTGGATAATGTGCTATTAAAGCATCCTGTGAACCAATATAGATGGAATTATAAATCTTCCAATACACATCTCTGACTTTTCTGGCAGGGTGAAACAAACCCTAGGGAAAAAAATAGAACCAGAAATTAAATTGCACTTAAGTGAATCATCTTATTTACTGATCATTTTACAAGAAATGGCATTTTATGACATGTCAGAAACCTGCGTATCATGTTATTCAGTTAGCTCCTCCTCCCTAGAAATACTTGGCAAAAGTTTTGAGAAGTAGCTTACATAATAGACCACAAGAAGGGTGTGGCAAAAGTCACATTACAATAATGCAGAAGTTCTTGCATCTAGCCACTGCCTTTCTACTTATTATTTGATTTTATACTTTGTGGTTTATGTAATCTTTTATTAAAATAATTTTATTTTACATATTATTTCTTATCATGTGAATCATTCAGAAAATTTTCTACTAGCAAAAAATAATCTTGGAAGATTTCATTATCTATATATACATGGAATCTTGCTACAATTCTTTTCTATAGTTCAACATAAAGAAGTCTTTAAGACAGCAGCAGGATACACTTCAATTAAATAATTTTCCTGATTTAATAGTCTTTTTAAAAATTATTCAGAAATCTAGGCAGGCATTTTTATCCAACTTACCTGTAAACAATACTGCAACATCCGGCAAGGTCCAATAGCTACCCTTAGGCCCTCCAATGCTCCCATAACTGCTTGGATGACATGAGGAGATGTCTCAAACACGTTGGGCCACACATAATTTAGCAAGTGATTCAGAGAGTCCTCACAGCCAAAACCATATACTCCAAGCGACATATGCTGCACTACTGCACTAGCTGTTTGCCTGTGCACCAGATCCCTGAAAAAGAAATTGTACAGAAAAAAAATTATCAATCACTTCCTCCCTTTTTCTTTCTTTCTTTCTTTCTTTCCGCCAGCAACCTTACGTTGAGCCAGGAGTTATTCTAGTTTGATAAAATAAAATCTTTTAATATCAAACATGACCGTTCATCCTTTTCTCTTCAATAGTCTTGGGGTTGGTAGCTAGCAGGGTTAACTTCCCCCCTTTTGACTAAGTTAAAACTGTGCTTCAATACCACAAAAAGAAGAAACGAAACATTGCCAGGTCAACTAAATTCCTAAAACAGATCAATATAAGGTGTGTCAAAAAGAGAGAAATTAGAGGGAGCAGCAGTACTTCAGCAGCCCAATGGGCTGACTCCCCAGCTCAGATAAGTTGCAAGATAGGGATAAGTAGATGGATGGGTAGAGAATAAAAAGAATATCAAAAAGCAAAAGCATTCTATCGCTACCCTTGCTTCTCCTTTACTTACACAACCAGTATAAGGAATAGAGGCACCCTCTATCCCAGCACCTCTTTGTGCTCTGGAGCTGAATTCCTATTCAAATAATTAAACAAGGGGTAAGAAAGGAACTGTTCCTTCTCTTCTCATTTCCCTTCTACTGTTGGGGTAAAGAAATATAATAGAATTATCATTTAAGACAATTTAACTCCAGACCATTGTAATTACTGTATTTCAAGAAAAGCTATATACTGTAAAATAACACTCAAATATACTAATGATCCATTTATTTAAATACATAAAGGAGGTCCAAAATTAATTATTACCTATATGTGTATTCCTTATGTCCAAGAAACTGAAAACCACATTTTTCAGCTACCCCAAAAATTCTACATCTCAATGAGCATGTTTCTGTGGTCCTTCCACACAATCATGAACCTAAATAATTGGCTTAATATTTGTTAGGTTTACTATAACCAGGCAAATAAGAGTAAAGGAAACAAAAAAAAATAGTTTAGTGTGGAGTGAAAAATTACCTGTCCATTAAAGCATCTTCAAGTAAGGGGGTAACAGCGTAAATGTAGTCTTTTCCCATTTCTCCAATATATTCAAATAGGAAAGAAAGAGATTTTAATACACCATTCTGAACATTCAACTCTGGAACTCTGTATTCATTCATAAGTGCAGGAAGTACTGTAAAAGGGGAACACGTTTCAGCCACAATAGCAATTGCCACTGTTGTACACACTCTGTTTTGTCTTTCTTGTACTTTCAAATTATTTAGCAGGGTTGCAAGCACATCATGGGGCCTAAAATAAAGGAAAGATAAAAATGTTATAGAAAAATTACAGTTAGAAATCTATCTGCCTGCCACAAGTAATTCTTCTCAAGAAAAGTTTTCTTGTTGGAAATGTCACCAATTACCAGGAACACATTATCATATGTCGTGGACATGTAGAGACGCAAAAAGCTATTGGGTTAAAATACAATCATGGTTAGAAAAAAATGATACATCAGCCCACAGAATTTAAGCCAGAGATATTCTTATTGGGTATTATACCAGAGAAATATACTAAAGAAGACTCATATCTGATTGTACAAATAATAACAGCAGCTAGAATTGCATTTGCACAAAATTGGAAAGCAGACAAAATCCCATCAGGAGTGATAATAAAGAAGATATTAGATTGTGAAGAAATGAATAGGTTGACGTTGAGAATAAAGGACAAAGAGGAATCAGTGTACTACAGGACATGGGGGCGATTTTATGATTGGCTTGAAAAAAAGATACAAATAGAAAGAGAAAGGAAAAAAGCACAAAACAAATAACTCAGACGACACATTATTAAATCAAGGGAAGGGGGAATAAGAAAGTATGAAAATGTAAATATACAGGCGGAAAAATGTTATGAATTGACAAATGTTAAATAGCAATTATAAGAATGTATATTTAAGAATGAATTTGAAAGGAAAAAAGAAAACTTTTTTCAAGAAAAAGATTTCTTGTATTTTTGTTGACAGAAGTTTTATAATACGCTTACAAAATCGTATGAAACTAAGTAACTTTATACATAATTATTACACAAGCTTACAATAATCATGGGGAAGCTCATGTGATAATGTCTGATGCATAGTATTTTCCTTGGTAAAAATTCTAATTGCTCACAATTAATCAATCCACAATTTTATTACATATAATGTGCAGCCAGATTATCAGATTTTTTTTTTTTACTGCTAACTTAATTTCTTTTTTCTTCTTCTTCTTTCCAATTCTGTCACAATATTACATTAAATGAAACCAATGCCCTCTTCTGGTTCAAATGTTAGATTCTGTTCAAGAAATTAATTTCCGGATAAATGCATAAAATCTAAGCTAGGTGAAATGTTTAAAGTGAGAATGTCTTCCCACTAACAACCAAGACATAGATAATCATAATGGAGTTAACTGCAGCATTAACCTTTCATTCCCCATTTAAACAAATCAGTATAGGAAGCTTGTACTTACCCAATAGCTTTTGCAATATAACCAAATGTATTCACAGTAGCTCTTCTGATAGCTTTCTTATGTGCTTTTAACAATTCAAGCAATTCAAAGCAAATCCTCATCCATTCCCTTGCAGAAACATATTCTGCCCCTCTGGAAGAAAGAAGAAATGGTATTAATATTAGTAATAAAGAACATTTAAATACATTTGCCAAATTAAGTGAAATAGTAGAGAAGATCAAGGCCTTCTTTCCCCAAAACTCTATAACCTCTAAACCAAAGCACCTCCCCAAGATGGCATTATCTATCCTGATAGATACAGTCACCCCTTATGCTAAAATCTTTCTGTGCTTTTCTCTATGCAGAAAAAGACACTGAATAAGAGAGGATTTCTGGGAAGGAGAACAACTTGTCCAGATTTCTCTTGGACAGATACAGCAGTCAGCAGGTTGGAAATTTTCTATATGTTTGAAATGCACTGCTAAATTTTGAGGGAAAAGTAATGATGGAACATATTTAATGAGGACAGAGGCATTAATAGTAGGCACATGGTCTTCAGCAGAACATTCAAATTTCATAAATTCTGTACAGGTAGTCGGCCTACAACAACCACAATTGAGCCCAAAATTTCTGTTGCTAAGTGAGACAGTTGTAAAGTGAGTGTTGCTCCATTTTGTGATCTTTCTTACCCACAGTTAAGTGAAGCACTGCACTCATTAAGTTAGTAACATGGTGAAGGGGATCTGGCTTCCCCATTGACTTTGTTTATCAGGTTTCCCAAACATGACCCCAGGACACTGCAACTGTCATAAATATGAGTCAGTTGTCAAGCATCTGAATTTTGATCAGATGACCATTGGGGATGTTGCAACAGTGGGAAAAATGGTCTTTTTTCAGTCACTTTTTTCAGTGCTATTGTAAATTTGAATGGTCACAAAATGTACTATATTGTAAGTTGAGAATTACTTGTATAAATTCATTTTAAGAAGACATATTTAACTGTTGATAATGTTGTGTTACAAAGGCATTTACCTGTCTGCAATACGTCCAACCAAGTCAATACAATTCTCTTGTACTTTTTCATGCCTGTTCTTCAAGATAGGTGTGAGTCTTGGGAGCAGATCTTTAATTGGAGGAGTCATTTTGTGCATACCTGTTAAATATAGGAAACAATACATTTAATCTCCAGTTCTGTTTTTCAAAGTAAAAATGTCACTCTAACCACAACTAACATACTTACCAATGACGTTCACAATGGCTTTAAGAGCTCCTAGGATACTGCCCAGTACTTCAGGGTATTCTTCACCCAAATACTCATACAATACCACACCCAAGTGACCCATCAATTTTTCCTAGGACCAAAAGACAAAGAGAAATATACTTAGAATCCAACAACTTTAAACCAACAGCAGGTGTTTATGGAAGAAGATAGCAAACAGTGAATACCTCTTGACAGGTTTTCATGACAACTGCAGTACGAGATATCAGGTCGGCAGCTTGCTGTCTCACTTTGGCTGATTTGTTGTTCAAACGCCACAACACCGTACCACAGATCTGGGGCAAGTATGGTTTCACTCGCTTGCCAAGAGCATTTACCACTGTACCAAAGCCATTCAACATCACCGAGTCCTATCAATAAAAAAAATTAGACCAATGTTAAAATACTATCTGACAGTTATGGTTTTTATTGTCACATTACAGCAAGATTAGATTCTAGGCTGTTATCTTTTGACGTGACTTGACAAGCAAGAAATATTACAAGTACTAGAAATGTAGTTCTCAGTTAGCAAAATAATGCAAGAACTTTTAATAACTTAACTCCAGCCCTTACATTGAAATAGATCAATTCCATCTTGAGAATGTTTAGCAATGATGCCCACTGAAGAGAATTTAAGTATTTTAATGTTAATTTCTATTCTACTGAAAAATGGACTAAGGTGCTCCCAAAAGCAGGACGTATTAGATGAAGAAAGCTGGAGAGCTCTTTCCCATCATGAAAAAGTTGCTGATTATTTACTGGAGCAGAGAATAGCTTATCTCAGTCGAAGCACAGCCCTAATGAGAGATGAAATGTTATCTCATTTGTGTATCTCTAACATATATTAATTTGCCATATGCAACAATCAAGTGACTTTTGATGGCATAAATATGTATTTCCAACATTTCCCAATATTTGCCATAACTTGAGTTTAAAATCCAGAATAGCTTTTGTGAGTATATTCATATACCTCTGTGGTCTGTTCTTGGAAGGCATATAGAATGCCATCAATAAGTTGTTCTTCCAACTTGTGGTCAATGTCAGCTGCACCCAGATTCCCCATGATCTTTTCAATGGTTTCCATAACCATTTTCCTGTATTGCTCAGCTTCATCTTTCAGATCGTCCACAATCCTGGAAATAATTTCTGCAGCTCCAACTTTGTTTGCAAGCTCCACGGTTGTGTCAACCAACTACAACGAACACAAAAGTTTGCGGAATCAATGATCAATTTAGAAATTTGGAACCATCTCAAATACATTTCCAAACAAAAATAATGTATTAAGGATAAAGGCAAAATGGATACATCTGGATTTTTGAAAAGTACACTAGATACTATCACAAATTAGCTGCCACGTAACAGGTAATCAATCGCAAAGTAAAACACAAAGGAACACCCCATTTCCTTCCCCTTTAGGTATATATGTATCAGGCACACAACATATATTCCTTTTCTTTTTTCTTCTAAGCTGATTATCTCTGCTTAGAGACCTCTACGGATGTTCCCAATTCCACTTCCTACCAATTGTAATTAAATGTTGTCCAACAATAACCATCCTTTTATTTATATTCTGTTCAAAGTAATTAGTAAGAATTACTGTTAAAATTTACTGTACTAGTGTCGATAATAGTAATACCTGTCTATAATTTCTTCTATCCAATGCCATTCTATGCTGCCAGAAATGCTTGAAAAATGGAGGCAAAATTTCAGTTTTAATGTAGTTTGCTTCAACACCATCTGTGCCACAACACTGCTTTACCACCTGAAAAAAAAAAGACAAAGCTAATGTAAAATTTTCCATAAAGACGGTATTCTACCAAGTGTGCTTTGTGCATCTCAAATAAATACAATTATTTGGAAGAGCATTACAGCGAGAATAGGCAACACTGAACGTGTTTGCATATGTATAGTGATTATGCTAATGCAGAGCTGGGAATTTAGCAATATCCAGAGCGCTTACAGGCTTCTCATATTTACATTAACAATCTTTCGAATCTCCTCAGAAACCAATTAGTTCGAAATTCAGCTCAACCACTACTTTATTAGCAAATCTTAAAAAGCTGCTATACCTTTATTTCAGAATCTCTTTCAAGATTATTTACATAATGGAAAGGAACATAACATACTTTTAATATTGTGAAGATTAATTCTTCAGCTAAAGTGAATTGTAGGTGCTAAGGTTAAGAACCTGAAGTTCTTAATATTTTTTTAGTTTTACCACTGTCTCTACATTTATGTACACCTCTCTACTTTTATGCATCTCGGAGTCATATCCATTTTTCTTTACCTCTCGATGCTGAGGCTTCCACCAGCAGAACAAAGCAGAATCCAACAAATTCTTCCATGTTCAAATATACCTACGTACCTTCAACACAATCTTCTTCATTTCTTCATCAGGAGACTGAAACTCTCTGATAAGAATGAGCATTACTTCTCTGGTATAGTAGTTGGCATACTCTGCATCCATAAGTGGAATAAGATATCCTATGGCTTTCAAGAAAGCAGCCAGACCCTAAAAATATATATAAAACAAACATTATTATAAATAACACCACCTGTTAACTAATATTATCTGGCTGATGTTAAATTGGACATACCTTTCCTCTGTGTTGACGTATGCCTTTCCAGAGGGGCTTTAGAACAGAGTCGAATGATTCAATACCATATGGGGTTGCTGCTTCAGCTAAAGCAGCAATGGCTAAAGCACTAATGGTGCGTACTTTCTGTTGCTCATCAACCAAGCCTGCAAAACAAATACATAGTTTAGTCTCCATTTTAGATTTCTTACCTATTATAGTAGGGAGGGGGGGAGTGTAATAACTATGCTGCCATTGTTAAGGAGCGGGGGGGGGGGGGGGGAAAACCTTTAATTTTTTTTTTTAAAAAAAGAGGGGTTAGAACACTTTTTTTTTTAAAAAAAAAA